CACCATGAAAACTACGCTTTCAATGACATATACATCCCAGAAATACAGCGGGTGCTGGCAGACGTCACATATTCATCACCTTCACAACGCCTTCGATCGTAACAACACCAGATAATCCGTACTAATTAATCACCTAACGTTCTCAGAGAGAATGCACCTATAGCTGTCATACGCTGCCAGTCCCATGTCTCATACAATGGGTTTTGCTGCGACATTTGCTTAATATACAGAGGCTGTACCTTCTCTTTCTCGAGACTGCTGACGACTTTTTGCTAACTAGAGCAGTTGAAGAATTAAGAACCTGAAGGACCTAAAGAAGAAACTTTGCTTTATTATTTAAAAGTAAATATGTCTTTTTCAAAAACGGCATTTCAAGCAAACAATCTGCTTCCCAAAAAATTGAAAACTAAGTTTGGATTTCTAAAAATCTTCATGCAAGTCCGGCAGCAAACATCAGTGGCGCAATCGAAATATCATCACTCTATGGAGAAAAAATTCTGTCTGTTGAATCTCTTCACTTTTTGAAATACAAGCCTCGATGAGAAAAAGCAACCGAAACACTGTTTCCGAGCGCCACAGAATTGAAATTTCACCGTATTAGTACGGATAGTTGAACCTTATCGTCAAAGATCTGTATTTTACAGATTTTACCCCAATTAATACAGTTCACTAGAAAATGAAATCTTTTAATCTTAACTCATTTATTTACTGCCTTTTTCTTCTTAATGGCAGGGTATGTTGTGAAATATAACTCGTATGAAGTGCTGAGATATTTGCAAGACTCCGGACCACAGGTGTATGCAGTGGGGAACGAACACGCGCTGTTGTCCTTACCGGGGAGCAGCGCACTTCACCACTACACCATCCGGGGATCATATGAAATCTTTTAGTTTAAAACTGAAAGCAGTGGTTTTATCACTCCGTGTAGTAGAAGATCAATTTCCGAAAATTGGTTTCGAAACGTTAACGACTGAAATAAATTCCAGAAGAAAGTTTTAGTATTATAAATGAATATTTTAGCGCCGCTGATGTTTGCAGCTGCCGAGGTTGCATCAGTAATTTTAGAAACTTAAACCTTGCCCGTAATTTTTTCGAAATATCATCTGTAAAATATTTAAGAATGAAGCAATATCTAATACAGCTGTCTCAATCTAGCTCTTCAATGACTGTAATTCGTCTACTATACAGAAATCTTAACAGGAACTAACCCCGATTGTTAACCCAATGGACTTAAGACAACCGTCTCCCTAGGGACAGATATATTACTTAACAGAAGCAACGCTGCGCAACATTTCGCTCGATTCAAAGTGAATGATTCATCACAGATGCCCTCAGATAACGCGTTAAGCCGCCGGAAACCGTTTAACTAGGAACGTCGAAGGCACAGGCCGTTAGTCATATATGCAGTCGATATCCAACGAAATCATGAGTGATGGCTTCTTAATGATTCGATTCCGACGAAAAGTGTAAAACAACTAAGTACTTACTTGGAACTATCTCATTAAGAAAACCACGAACACGTTTTACAAAGTTCCTGATTTGCACACCTTCGACCTTTATGAAGAATCACAGCGAACGTCTATTAAATTTCTAGTTATCGCCAATCAGTAGCCACCTAGAAAACCGAGCAAAAATTTCCTCTCGTAAACTCCACTTGTTCGAAGAACACGGGACGCTTCCAACATGTTGTACCTTGCTTTCACTGCACTTAGTGAGAACGCGCTTACATTGGTACCTCAAAAGGCTCTTCTACGGCAAATGCTCATTTTAGATTAGTTTTTGGATGGAAATTTCGAACTCCTCGAATTGGATGACCCTGACGTGGGAGATGGTGAACTTACCGACGCGCACTAACTCCCCATTCCTTATTCACCCGCAGTATCGAACTGCATAACGTCAGACCGTCTGCCTACATGCAATAACCAGTTGCGAGACACGAGAAACTACAAACATTAACGTGAGGTACATAGAACCGATCACGTCAGTTTGACACAAACAGACCATTTTTTTAGCTGATAAATGATCTCGCAGGTGGTTTTCTCCAGATATCGCAGCTTCTGCTGTTACATTGTGCAATGACTGGGTCTCTGCTTAAGTAAACCTTCACAACCACCTGTGCCTAATCGTACGTTTGTGGCTGGTTTCTTGACCCATCTACCATATGCCAATGGTGTTCGTCAAATACACCAATTATGTGTCACGTCTGCATTGAAAGATTAACTGATGCTAGTAAATTAATCACCTCCCGTAGAACAATCTTACATATATTGACTCCATTCTGAATAATTACTCTTTCAAAATACTTCCTTGTAATGTTCTGTTGTACTAGAGAATCTCAATAACTTAGGGAACCAAGGAAGTTAAATTTCAAAGTCTATAGCAAAAGCGATGTGACTATTTATTCATGTTATATCAACGACACCGGTTATGGGGATACGTCATCTCCCAAACAATTTTCACGAAGTTTAGGACAAGATTTTATTAAAAATGTCACGAAAATAAATTTGGAGCTTTTACGTAATTTATGAGTGGAGTTTAAAAATCCAGCCGAAGATCTGAACTGAAAAGTCAATGTAAGACATTTCCAGTGATGCAACTGGCAAACTTGGTCCTTGTAACCATGTGGATAAATTAATAGAAAAAAGCCTAAGTAGTATGAAGCCAGAAATAATCATGATTTCCGGCAAATTTTGGTAGTGTTTTTACTTCATTCATTTTCACTTCCTAAGCTCTTCGCAATGCCAAGGCAGCTGGCTTAACATAATTGTAAGGAAATAAGATTACTTTTTCGATCGCTTTATCTATAATAAAGCTCAAAAAAAGCTCTCGGCGTTGATCAATCCCTGAGGGATGCCCTTTGGATTCGACTTTGTTAAGCATCGTTTTTAGGTGACTGAATGAATATCTGGCCTTTACAATGACACACAGTGGCTTACCGATGTATCGAACCAGTGCTGCTATCCTCTCAGACAAGTCTGATACCAATTTACCGACCCCGGAGGGATGGTAGGCTTGGTGAGCCAGGGGCGCGAGGATCGATTCCACGTGTGTGTTAAAGTGGCGCCTCCAACCACTGCACCACACGAGCCCACCTCATCTATAACATATGGTTATTCTAAGTGAAAAGCACACTTCAAATAACCATTTATGTTCCTTGAACATGATAATATCTTCATTGTTTAACTACAAGCCGAAATTTCTACCGGAGAAAAGCTAATCATTTGAATGAGAACACTTGTGTGTTACACATAACCTACTTTTTGACAGTTTCCACTCTTAAGAACTATTAAATAGTCCAAAATCGGAAATAAGGAAGGTTAAGCGTTAAGAGGTATGTAACTATACGGCTCAGTACATATCTTAGTAACTCAAAGTTCCACTCGTAACAGCACGGTGAGTAGTTTTTTGATCAATATTGCGTCTATTCATTTGCTAGATCTTTATTAATACCGCAGATATTTCACCGATATATAAGGCTATTGTTACATAAAATATGTGCAGACTCTGAGGAAAGTTAGATCACCGAAACGTTAGCCATCGAACAACAATAACGACAACTTATACAAACCTTGCATCAGCTCAATAAGGGCAGCTCGTAAAGACGCATAGGGCTGTCTTTCGCCATTACGAGCTTCTATCAGGACTTATCATAATCGTCACGAAGCTGATTTTTAGATAAGTGACAATAACTTTCTTGATCACATTTTATAGAATTATAGAGCAGATATGGCTTTGTCTCCCACTCACAAAATTTTTGAAGTGTCCTTTAAGACTTAAATAAAAATGAAATTCAAATTTCAGTATTCTTTCCTTGATAAGCACACACGAGATTGATAACATTGTTTATTCTCGCTCAACGTTTCGACGGCATCGTCTTCATCAGAGCCGATGATCCCAGTCGATGGTCCACAGTTGTTCGTGATTTCGAGGTAGTGTCTTCGTCGCTCATCGATCCAGGTCATCGTAAATGGAGCACCCCTCTCGAATGAGACATCCCTTGCTCTTCAGGAGGTTCATAACATTGAGAGATGCTCCAATGAGGAAGACCTGGCTCGATGCGCGACGAAGACGCTACCTCGAAATCACGAACAACTGTGGACCATCGACTGGGATCATCGGCTCTGATGAAGACGAAACCGTTGAAACGTCAGCCGTAAATAAACATTACTTACCAAGCTCGTGTTAGCTTATCGAAGTAAGAATACGTGTTAATTAGCCATACCGAGGTTAAAGGAGAGTCGGTTTTGAAATATCAAATTTCAGTTTTTAAAATTTCCAACGGAAAGATAGCAACAGCATATATAACTGGTAGGTTGAGGGACATCACCGTGCCATGATGAACGAAAATCCACCTGTTCATTTACTGTCGTGTTCGAAATATAAGTTTTGAAGTAATGAAGTGGAAGAAACATACGTTCCACGCTCCAGAAAATCAAGATCTCACCTTAGTTGAAACAAAAATTTTATTCTATAGGTAAAAATATGTAATATCCAGCAGTTTTTATGGCAATTGGTACAGCTTTAAGCTGAGATTTGTTGATCTAAATTTGAAAAGTGGCGCCATTTTCGCACCATAAGACTGATATAGATCACGTCGTCGCAAATGTGTTAATGTTAATGTTAAATTACATGTAAGAAACCAAATTCAAAGACATGGTTAATGAATTCTATGCTCAGCAGACAACATAACAAGCACTTTTGTTACTAGTGAGCATTGAACTCGGAGCATCGCAAGAATAATTATGAATGGAACGGCGACGAAATCATATCTAGCACTACATAACCATCAAAACCCAAATGGCACGTCGGGCCTAAAGGATTTATGCAGTAATTCGATATGATTTAACTTGAGGATGTTTGTTCATCACCTATTATTCACCCAATAGTGTAGCTAGTCGTTGCTTCCCTCAAACCACGCCCTCTCTCTAGCTAAACGCTCCGCCCCTCCTTTTCCCTCACTCCGCCGATTCAACTGGCTGTTAGGCGTGAGCCGATATAGCATGGTACCATTATTTTTTCTACTATTACTAACTTATGACGTCTGCAGTACAGTCGAATGCCCGCGTGAATGCGAATGTGACGCTATTCCACCGAACAATTCGTCTTGGGCTGTCTACTGCCATCGTGGAGGCCTAAATGACACGATATTCGCTGATATTCTCAATCGTCTCCCATCATCCTTAAAATTACTAGATATTCAAACAAGCAGTTGGCGACCAGCAAACAAGTTTAAATGGAGCGACAATCTTAATCGTTTCAACCTTCTGAAGCAACTTCGCCTAGTGAATTGTGCGATTCCTGCGATGAGTCGGAATATCAGACTTCCATCTTTGGAGTTACTCGATTTGCACGGAAATGAGATTGAACACGCTACTATGGGAAACTTTGGAGGAATGCCAAATTTGCGATTTCTTGACTTGAGTGATAATCATCTTAGCATTCTGCCCACCGGTGTCTTCACTTTTCTGCGAAACCTCAAATCTCTTTCCCTCGCCAATAATTCAATAAATGAATTGTCTGCGAATCTTCTAAGAGGACTGCGAACGCTGAAATCATTGAGACTTGACGGAAATATCATACCAGTCAAACAGATCAACGATCTCTTCGTCGATGTACCACAACTGGAAGAACTGCATCTGAATGGTTGTCGTCTATCCAGCATTTCCAATCTGTCACTGAAGGATGTAGAACAATTACGTCATCTCGGACTGGCTAATAACAATCTGCGCACGATACCCACTCAAGAGTTACGACAACTGGCACATTTGGCCGTTCTTGACCTAAGCGGCAATGACCTTGTGGAGGTTGGGGCGTGTGCTTTTTGCTCGAATAACATTTCACGGCTTGATCTATCCCATAATCGGCTAGGCTTGGTCAAGGAACCGTTTCACGCGGACGCTTTTCGTAATATTCCATTGGTGGAACTCGATCTTTCATTCAACCACATGAACGAGTTCCATTCAAGTTCGCTTGGTTGGGCTCAGGAACGTCTTCAAACGCTTAGTATGGCCGGAAACTCACTTGGAGGTGACCAGTTCTGTTCTTGAGCAAATCATTCAAGTAAATCCTAATTTACCTACTTCATAGTACTACTAAATATATGCTCTGCAATTTTAAAAAATATATAACACTCTAAAAAAGATAATCTTGTACACTTCAACAAGAAGAGTCATATACATGCAGAAATCACAAGTCCATCTCACACTACGATGACGACTCTACACTTTCAGAATTTCACAGAGATATCACTGCCACACTACCGTCTCTACACAGTCTCAACATGGCCTACAATAACATCGAACGTATTCCGCTAGTATTCCCACCACAGTTTTATCATCTAACTCTACTAAATATCTCTGGAAACTCGCTTACTTATCTCCCTGACAATCTGCCATATCTACTACCAAATCTTAAGGTAGGTATAAAAGAAAACCCAGCTGCTTTGTTTGCTTTCATTACTAAATCATTACAATTTTCCACTTTCCCTTATTGCCTCGTTGACTTTGCAATTTCTCTTCCCTAAAAATGATGAAATAACAGACTTTCATCATTTCCCACACACTTTTATCTAAACCACTATCTTTACTACGATCTACCGCTGATTCTTTGCAATTAATATCCTCTTATATTTGCATAGATGAGCAAATATTCCATCTTTCGAATGGAAATTATTAAATGTTAGGCAAACTGACAAACTCTACGATCGGATTGAAATCATGTACCGACTAACAAATTTTCTTCTCAAGTTCGCTCGCTTACTTTACATGATAGATAACAGCCACATTATTTCCTATCTACGGTTTTTCAAGTTCCTGTAGCATCTCACTTAACGACATCACTACCAAAATAATGGAATAAGCGACCAATCATGAACGCCAGAACACAGATAATAAAGGTATTAGATATCAGATTACGCTTCATACTTCTATTTTCCCGGCTACCAGAGAATTCTTAAACTGTAATCAAAAAAGCTCGAAGGTCACTTTTCAAGCAAGGAAGTAAGATGCCAGCGGTATTTGTAACATTCACGGTGGATTTCAAAACAACCCATAGAAAGAGACATACCTCCCTAAACCCTGTTGAAATTTTTGAACCTGCGCCAATAGGGCGAAAACAAATATCGTAGGTACGCTAGAATGAGAATGATTCGTCCGCTGATAGTGTTATGTTCTCAGCTCAACCATAAACAACCTAATATCTGCTTCCTATTTTGATACAAGAATGTACTACACATGTAACATCGTTAAGCTTTTAACACTGCTTTTTTAGGAGTTCGACATATCAAACAACAAATTCTCCACATTAACGCAAACTGCCGTTGATTACATCGATCAACTCGAACGTGTTCATCTTGGTGGCAATCCGTGGGACTGCTCGTGTTCAATCCAACACATCCAACAGCATATGCGTCATCGCTATGCGATGCGCCACATTCTTCGATATCATGAGGCTAGATGTGCAGAACCAGCACTGGTCAAAGGACAACCACTCCTTAGTGTCACTGATGTGAGCTCTACCATATTTGCAGCTTTCGAGATTGAGAGAGTTAAAAAACGGATCCATTACGGAAGCGTAACTTGGATAAATCTTCTATCACAGACATACGTTACTGCAAAGATGGGTAAATGAGAACTAAAAACCGGATCGATGATGGAATGATAATCGGAAGAAGTCACGTCTAAGAGACATACGTTAATGCTTGAATACAGAAAAAAAAAACCCTAAATGGCGACTTGGTGGCTTATTTCACTACAATAAACCAGCCAGATAACAGTTTTCTTTTGAATGGTAAAGCAGAATTTCATTTACGAGTTAAACCATACTCATGGACAGTTCAAAAAATAGCTTTTACCTCGTTTTTGATCCGTGCTAATTGAATATTTCAGATTAACGAATGTGCAGTTCTCTTTGGTGCTCGCTACGGGCTATCGCAGAGCAGCGAGCTGTTCATCCTGCTTGCAGCTTTACTCTCTGCCGCTGTAATTCTGTCTATTCTACTAATCTGTCTATATTTTCTGCGTGAGCGACAGTACAAAGGTTCCTACGTGACCCGAGAGCATTCTCGGACACCACTCACTATGGCACCTCACATTAGTTGTTCTTCAACTAATAGTGGCGCAAGTGAACCTCTGACACCACCGATGCCACCACCACCGCCAAAACCAACTGCGGCTTACTTTGGTATATAATCTAAAAAGTTTACACTACTTCACTAGAGAATATTCGGAAATACTATAAACTGTTGACACGCAAAGGATCTCTTCTTTTCTAACGCACAGTCCAAAAATGTACATAAAATACCACGATAATAGCAATGGAGCTAACAGAATCGCCGCTGAATTTCCCTTGTAGTGCTATCTTTATCTCAAAAATGAATAGAGAACGTCTAGATATTCCAATGGTTCTGGTCAATAAGGGTGAATTTGAGTAAAATTAGGGATCACTAATATATCGCAATTTCTTTTGTTCCTAGCTTCTGATCCTTATCACCTTCCCTTTGTAATAACGCTTTCACTGTACTTTGTGCCGAAATATAGACCAATGTTTTTTCACCTCCAAAAATCTCAACAACGAACAATCTCACTCATCATCTATTGATCATCATTTTTGTTTTCTAGAACACTTTGAGATTATTTTGTCGGTTCTACTACTATCATTCCCTAATCTCCATAACGCGGTGTTATTTCGTGTATACCATATTCTATACGAAATATTGTACATATTTTGGTAACACCTAATAAATACACATATTTTATCATCTTCCGCTATCTGACACCTCAATTTCCTCGTTGGGAAAGCGCAAATTCATTTGCATACGCGATAAAGACAATGGGTACAACATGTCCATGCATAATGAAGCTTGATGCGATTTGCAGGTGAAATTGACGGCCCTTGTCAACGATGGTTGCTGAACTTCACCAATTCAATCGTGAATTCATATGGAAACCCGCGAACTAGCACTCGCTTCATTTAAGCCAGTTTGTCAATGAATAGCTACCAACTAGGAAGCATACGTCAATTATCATGCTATGCTATTAATTTCCCTTCTTCTAATCGTTTTCTTGATCACTTACTGATCGACAACATGAAGGGTTCACAAAATCATTGTTGCTATTTACAAGGCATACGTTCATCCTATGCTTCAACCAATAAGGCAAGCATAATGTTAACTTTTAAATTTTAACCCTTTTATTTACTGCCTTTTTCTTCTTAATGGCAGAGTATGTTGCGAAATATAACTCGTATATAATGCTGAGATATTTGCAAAACTCCGGACCGCAGTTGTATGCGGTGGGGAACGAACGCGCGCTATTGTCCTTTCCGGGGAGTACCGCACTGCACCACCACACCATCCGGGTCCTTCGTTTCATCTGTCTCTCAGCTAGTTCTATCGATCTTTTACCATCAGCAATCACTCGTCAACGGAATTGATCTGGTGAGCTCAAATCGGCATTGAACCCAATAAAGCTGTGACTATAGTTGAAATCGGATGAATATAGTTTAATAGTTGAATATAGTTGAAATGTTGAACCTAAGCATATTTATTCTATAAAATATACTTCCTACCAAGTGGGTTCCTACCTGGTTCCCCATAGTTCTTCAGTTTTGTTTTCTCAGAACATTAGTTTCGAAACTACAAAACGTGGTCTTTTAAACAGATTTCGGCAGCAGTCTTTCGGTGTTGGTCTGTCATATATCACTCATAACGCTTCCCTTACCTAAAATGATACATAAGTGCCAACATTACCTTCACACAAAAGCTTCTCGTTGACAGGCTCTATTGTAAATTCGGATAATCATAACAATAGAATTTCGACGTCTAGCCCCACATGCCACGGATAATCCCTTCTCTCGAGGCTGCCGAAAAATGGAACAGAATCTCCAAGTATTCGACGCTTCGAGCTATCACTACCAAAAATACACGGTGTTAACAACCACAAACTGTTTTAATACCACCAGCTGTGGAGCTTCCACAGAAACTCCTCAGTCAATTTTACATTATACCAACTTGGAAACTAAGGTAGTACAAGCTGGTTTGAAAAGAAAAATTGAGGTAGAGGTATTCAATTAAATTCCAACCTGTCTACCTTTAAGAACAACGGTTCATCCTCATATCAGACAGAATAACGATAGGAATTTGTAGAGCAGCCTTTGAAGGAAACTAATTAGAACTTTGCAATAACTGCCTTCACCTTTCACTCATTTACTTGTCATATAAGCTACTCATAAAGTCCTCGATATTACCTCATCCCATCCCTTTCATTAGAACCAACACGCCGACTCTAACCGCTCTATTCTCCCCATTTACATCTTTCACCTGCACTACAATCTAATTGAAGTGAAACACAGCCGATATCCATCTAATTAACATCTGTTTCCTGCACATAATTCCAAAAACAAGAAGTATAAGCCATTGCATCAAATTCAAAGATGACTTACCATAAGTACATGCAACACTGGTAGATGTTACCAAAAAAATGTCAACAATATCAGGCGACCGATAAGATGGACATATATGCATGTTTAATTACCAAAGGAAAAAAAAAATAAAGATTAAACCAGAGTCAAATCGAAAGTCATGAAAAAATCTTAGGCAACTCTTTGCTGCTAAGAAATAGACAAAGTCGTATATATATATATATATATATATATAT